AGGTACTATAATCCAGTTGCCTTTTCATCTACACTGACTCACAGAGACCCCGTGTGTGTCAGAGTAGTACTTTGCTCTTTGGGGTTTTCAATGGCTGAGTTTTTGGAAGCAGATTGCCAGACCTTTTTTCTAAGGTGCCTCTGGGTAGATTTGAGCCTCCGACCTTTCACTTAGCAGCCGAGCATCTTAACCATTTGCATCACCCAGAGACTCCAAAGTTCAGTTGCTCAGACCAAAAACCTTAGAGTCATCCTTGACTCCTCTTTTTTCTCTTACATCCAACATGAAATCCATCTTTAAATCCTGAACATGATTTGTTCAAGAGAAATCCCAGATCTGATCAGCTCCACCACCCTACCCTGGTCTGAGTCACCCTCATATTTTTCCTGAACTACCACAGTAGCCCCCTATGTCAGGAAGCCTCTATCATAGCTCCAAATGACCCTCAATTCCTATCATTCATGACTTTGTAGAATCTTCTTCCCCTTGGGAATGTCTAGTTCAATTTTGTTTTTCTTACTGTGGTGAAAATATACATAACAAAACATATACCAGTTCAAGTTCTACATGTACAATTCAGTGACATTGATTACATTCTTCTAGTTGTGCAACCATTTTCACCCTCCTTTTCCAAATTGTTCCACCACCATTAACATAAACTCAATGCCCCCTTAGCAAGAACTACCTCTTTCCCTCTCTCTCCCATCCCTGCTTGTTGTTGTTGTTATGTGCCATCGAGTCAATTCTGACTCACAGCTACCCTATGTACAACAGAACAAAACACTGCCCGGTCCTGTGCCATCCTCACAGTAGTTGTTATCCTTGAGCTCATCTTCCCACCCCTAGTAACCTCTAATAATATTTGGTTTCTGTGTATTTGCTTATTTCATGTAAGTGAGATCATACTGTATTTGTCCTTTTGCCACCGATTTTACTCAGCATGATGTTTTCAAGGATCATCCATGTTGTGGCAAGCATCAGGACTTCATTTCTTTTTATGGCTACATAATATTCCATCATATGGATGGACCACATTTTGTTTACCCATTCATCTGTTGAAGGATACTTGGCTTGCTTCCACCTTTTGGCTATTGTGAGTAGTGCTGCAATGAACACTGGCGTACAGGGTTCTAGTTGGGATTTAGTAATTCAGCTAGGAAAGTTTTCATACAAATATGTTATATTTGTTCTCTAACTTATATGTGGAATTTAGAGCAATCAGAAGAGATACTTGTGTAGGATTTTAGGGATGTAGTATAGAAGTCACAGCTAAGAGTTGGAAGACATGAGTTCTAATCCTAGCTCCTACACTAAGTAACTTGGGCAAGTCATGTTACTTCTCTGGGCTCCAATTATGTGTTCTAAGAAATGAGGGGAGGAGTTGTACTACATTCCTCATGGTTCCTGCCATCTCTGAATTTTAGGACAGGAGTTGGCAAACTGTTTCTGGAAAGGAACAGAGAGTACATATTTTTGGCTCTGTGGGCCAGGCCATCTGTCACGACTACTCACCTCTGCCCTTGTCGTGTGAAAGCCTCCATAGATAATACATAAACGAATGGACATTGTTGAGTTCCAGTAAAACTATTTATGGATGCTGAAATTTGAATTTCATATCATTTTCAGTGTCACAAAATATTATTCTTCTATTGATTTTTTAAATTGCGATAAATATGTAACAAACATTTGCCATTGCAACGTTTTTAACATGTATAATTCAGTGAGATTAACTATGTTTATCATGTTGTTCAACCATTACCATTATGTTTCCAAATTTTTTTATCACCTTTAACAGAAGCTAAGTATCCCTTAAGCAATGAATCCCCCTTTTTACCACCCTCCAGCCCGCCCCTAGTAACCACTAATAAAATTTGGTCTCAGTGTTGTTGTTGTTATTAGGTGCTGGTGAGTTCATGGCGACCCCATGTGTGCAAAGTAGAACAGCTCCATAGGGGTTTCAAGGCTGTAACTTTTCAGAAGCAGAATGCCGGTCTTGTCCTCCAAGCATCTGTGGGTGGGTTTGAACCACCAATCTTTTGGCTGGTAGGTTAACCGTTTGCATCACATGAACTTGCCTATTCTAGATGTTTCATATAAGTGGGGTTATACAATTATACTGAATGAAATGAGTCAGTCACAAAAGGATAAATACTGATTTTTTTTCAACCATTTAAAAATGTAAAAAAAAAACTTTCTGAGCTCATGGGCCATACAAAAGCAGGTTGTGGGTCCAGAGTTTGCTGATCACTGCTCCAGGTGGTCATACACTTAGAAAAGTTAATCTTGAAAAACTATAGAATTACAAACATGATCCACCTCCATAAGAGCTATTTGGTAGAAGTAATATCACCCAGAGTTTTGAAGTTTGGGTACAATTGTATTATATATTTTATACATCCTTCTTCAATACATCTACACAACCAACATCAATATCAAAGTTGTCAAGGATTTCATTTTACTTGGATCCACAATCAATGCCCATAGAAACAGTGGTCAAGAAATCAAACAAAGTATCGCATTGGGCAAATCTGCTGCAAAAGACCTTTTTAAAGTGTTAAAGAGGAAAGATGTCACTTTGAGGACAAAACTGCACTTGACCCAAGCCATGGTGTTTTCATTCGCCTCATATGGATGCGAAAGCTGGACAATGATTAAGGAAGACTGAAGAAGAATTGATGCCTTTGAACTACGGTGTTGGTGAAGAATATTGAATACACCGTGGACTGCCAGAAGAATGAACAAATCTGTCTTGGAAGAAGTACAACCAGAATGGTCCTTAGAAGGGAGGATGGTGTGACTTTGTCTCACGTACTTTGGACATGTTATCAGGAGGGACTGGTCCTTGGAGAAGGACATCATGCTTGGTAAACTAGAGGGCCAGTGAAAAGAAGAAGACCCTCAATGAGATGGATTGACACAGTGGCTGCAACAATGGGCTCAAGCATAACAACAATTGTGAGGATGGCACAGGACTGGGCAGTGTTTCCTTCAGTTGTAGATAGGGTCGCTATGAGTCAGAACTGACTTGATGGCACCTAACAAACTAACAACAAGATACATCCTTCTAAACATTACATGTAGAGAAATAGGTAGTATAAGACAGAGAACATAACAAACCTAGTTTTTCTTTTAGGAATGAGTGAGTGAGTGAATGAATGAATGTTATCAACAACTCTATTTGAAGGTGCCCACAGAGGTTACATCAAACTTTATCATATACATATATACACATATATTTATATTATCATCTTGGCCATCATAACCTGTATGATAATCTTCCAGGAGTGAGACTCAACTCTTCAGCACTAAGGCAAAGCAGGCTTAACACACACACACACACACACACACACACACACACACACACACACACTGTGACTGGTATTTTGAGGCTTTGGTTATAGAATACAAGTTTAGACTATAGTTAGAGCTAAGAACATGAAGGTAAAACACACCCAATCTGGACTATAATTGGCTCCTCATTTTTTTCTACTAGAGAAAAATTATAAGTGACTCAATCGCCATTATAAAATGGGATATAAATCATTATAAACTGAGGTTTTCTAGTAAGGGAAAAGTAATGGATGGCACAAATGGTTAAGTGCTATGCTACTAGTTGAAGGGTTAGCGGTTTGAGTCCACCCAGAGGCACCTTGAAAGAAAGACCTGGTGAGCTACTGCTGAAAGATCAACCATTGGAAACCCTATGGAACACAGTTCTACTCTGGCACACATGGGGTCGCCAAGAGTCAGAGTCGACTAGACAGCAACTGGTTTTTTTTTGGGGGGGGGGGTTAATTTCAAATACCTTAATTATATACTATGGATGTGGTAATTTTACAGTATAGGTAACTTCAAATTCTAATAGAATGTGAATAAAACGTAAAAGTTATTGAAACAACCAGCTGCTATGTGTAGCAATAACATCAGTGTTGACTGTTTCCCAGTTGTTCTAAAACTGTGCTAATTGGCACAACTTTATATCCTCAAACCAACCAGTTCTTGCTTTCAATTTTCTCCCCTATATTTGTCTCCTGAGTCTCCAGCCTCAGATCCTCAAAGACCCATCCTTTGTCAAAGGCTCAGAACATCTAATTTACAAGCAAGAACGCAGAATCTGAAAATACAGAGAGGCGTAGTGTCTGGGGTCTTAAAAGCCTGCGAGCAGCCATCTAAGATACTCCACTGGCATCACACCTTCGGGAGCAAGGGAGAATAAAGAAAACAAGATAAAAGGGAAAGATTAGCCCAAATAACTAATGGACCACAGCTACCATGGCCTCCACCAGACTGAGTACAGTACAACTAGACAATGCCCAGCTACCACCACTGTCTCTTCTGACAGGGATCACAACAGAGGGTCCCAGACAGAGCTGGAGAAAAATGTAGAACAAAATCCTAACTCACAAAAAAAGACCAGACTTACCGGCCTGACAGAGACTAGAGAAACCCCAAGAGTATTGCCCCCGGACACCCTTTTAGCTCAGTAATGAAGTCACTCCCGAGGTTCACCCTTCAGCCAAAGATTAGACAGGATTAGACAGGCTCATAAAACAAAACGAGACTAATGGGGCACCACAGTTGAGGGACAAGGACTAGAAGACAGGAGGGGACAGGAAAGCTGGTAATAGGGAACCCAAGTTCGAGGAGGGGGCTGACATGACGTGGGGTTGTTAACCAATCTCATAAAACAATATATGTGCTAACTGTTTAATAAGAAACTATTTGCTCTGTAAACCTTCATCTAAAGGACAATAAAAAAAATTAAAAGAAAATACAGAGAGGAGATGAAACTAATGCTAAGAAAAACAAGCTTGTTGGGAGAATCTGTGTGCAGAGAACATTATGCCCCCATCTAAAAAATAAAATAAAAAATAAAAATAAATAAAACAAAAACAGCTTGATTCCATAGCAAATAGGGTGTTTATGTAGCAAGTATGAGAATATAAAAATCAAGATTTTAAATGAAGCTTTCCAAAACCATGTATATAACCAACACATACCTTCTGTTCCAATTTCCAGCATATGATGGAAGAGTTTCTCAAGGACACTGTAATAAGTTATTTGCTTCTTTTTCCTCCTTATTTTGTACCAGGAGAAGTAGGTGATGAACCTGGACAATGTTTTATTTTCCAGCTGATGCATTGGTACTTGTCCCAGAAAAGTCCACTGTCTTTTCCATCTCCATCTGGGGAATTTGTAGAAGGAAGAGAAAACACGGTAATGATGTACACATTGTAAATGAAACAACTAGTTAGTAGGTACTTTCCAGATTAAAAGCCAAGACCCGTATAAATTATTTATTGCACTAAAAAATTGTCTACAGAGAGTTTCAAGTAATTTTGTTGTCAGGATGAAGTAAAAAAAATTATAACCCATGAAACCATTGCATTTTGTTATAATTATTTACTTTCTGTTTTTTTTCACTGACTCTAAGCTCCATGAAATGTCCCTGGGTGGTACAAGCAATTTGTGCTCGGCTACTAACCGAAAGGTAGGCAGTTCAAACCCAGCCAGTGGTGCCATGGAAGAAAGTCCTGGTGATCTGTTTCCATAAAGACTACAGCCAAGAAAACCCTACGGGGCACAGTTCTACTCTGTAACACATGGGGCTGCCATGAGTTGGAATTGATGGAAATGGGTTCAGGTTTTTTGATGGCCAGATGGTTTCTGTTGCAACTACACATTTCTGCCTTCATACCTCAGAGTTACAAACAGCAAGGGTCAGGATGCTCAAATCAATCAAACCACAAAGGGTTAGAGGTGGGAAGCAACACGAAGTGGGAAAGGGGAGAAGCCTACTGTTTTGGTCTGCGTGGCTGAACCGAACAAGTCAGAACTATCGGTTTTCGTTCTTTTTCTAATCCTCTTGAACCAGTTTTTGTATTCTTCTCGTACCTGAGAATTTAAGCACACACAGAGAGGCATTGTTTGAGAAAGTGTGATTTGACACCATAAAAACCAAACCAAATCTGTTGTCATTGAGTGGATTCCAACTCATGGTGACCCAATGGCAGGTTGGTTTACCTTATGATTGAGGAGGCAGTGGACAAAGAAGATGTAGATGCCCTGCAGAACATTGATGATGGTGAAGGAGTAGGCAAACGCCGATCTGGTAGGCTCCTTGACTGCTCCAACCAGAAAAAAGCCAAGGCCCCAACAACAACCCAGAATGAAGAGTTGAGCGATGGCCTTAAACATCAGAATCCTGCCAAACCCAAGATTCAAAATGATGCCACTCATCTCAACCCCTTGGCCCATCTCAACCCCTCGGCCCATCTGAAAGCCTTCTGTCACATTCTAGGATAGCTTTATACTTTCTTCAAGGCTTGGGACTACTTAGAATTTCAGAACTGTTAAATCTTATTGCCATTGGCAGAAGTGTTAAAGAGATGAAATAATATATACTGTTAGCAAAATATAATGTGAAGTTTTGTATATCTCTAGTAATGATTTACAGAAGGTAATTAACTATATACATATAAAGAAATACATATTTGTGTGTGATATAATTAAATAAAAATGAATAAATAGTCCCTAGGTGGTGCAAATGATTAACCCGCTTGAGCTGCTAACCTAAAGGTTGGGGGTTTGAGTCTGACCAGATGCACCTTGGAAGAAAGGCCTGGCAATCTGCTTCTGAAAAATCGGCCATTGAAACCCTATGGGTCACAGTTCTACTCTGACACACATGGATTGTCATGAGTCAGAGTCCGTTTGACAGCAACTGGTTATGCTTGTAAGGGGTCAGTTGTAGAATTCTCGCCTTGCAGATGGGAGACTGGGGTTCAATTTCTGGCCAATACACCTCATGTGTTCAACTGTGTGGATCATAACAAATTATGGATAACATTGCAGAGAATGGGAATACCAGTATACTTAGTTGTGCTCATGAGGAACCTGTACATAGAACAAGTGGCAGTCGTTCAAACTCAATGAGGGGATACTGCGTGGTTTCAAATCAGGAAAGGTGTGTGTCAGGACTGTTTTGCTTTCCCACCCACCACCCTTCTTCCCCTTGCTCAGCCTCCTCTGTTTCGCAGTGGGCCAAGGTCCCTCAGCCGGGAGGCGTCATCTCCATGCTGCTTGGATTCACCCTGCCCACATGGGCCAGCTCCTTCAGTGCTATTTTTTTGTTGCTGTTTTTGTTTTTTTGGCTTCTTTTGTTTTTTTCTCTCTCTCACCTCCTTCCCTTCCTTTCTCCCGAACACCTGGCTCCACCCATGTGCCATCTCCGCTCCTTCTTGACAGGTTGTGAAGCGCCACTCAGCTGGGGAACCACTTCCCTGGTCAGTGCTGCCATGATGGTGGTATCCCTGGGGGCAGGTTTTGTTTCTTGTTCTTTTTTCCTTTTTGTTTTTCTTCATTTCTTGGTTTCTCGTCTCTCTCTAAGTTCCTTCTTTTCCTGTCTCCTGAGTACCTGGTACTGTGTGCCATCTCCACCTGCTTCTAGACAGTCTGTTCAGTGCTGCTTAGCTTGGGAGCCATGCCCCTAGTGCAAGCCGGCAAGCCAGTGGGCTCCCTTGCAGATTATTTTTTTCTTTTCTGGATTTCTTGTCTCTCTCTACCATCCTTCTCTTCTTTTCTTCTGAACACGTGGCATCACATGCCATCTCTGCTCCTTCTAGACAGGCTGTGCAGTGCTGCACAGCTGGGGAACCACTTCCACAGTCCACGCCACCACACCAGTGAGCTCCCTCAGGACATTTTTTTTCTTTCTCTCTTCTTTTCTCAGTTTTTTCGTCTGTCTCTACTTTCCTTCCTTACTCTTCTCCTGAACACCTGGTGCCGTGTGCCATCTCCACTCCTTCTTGATGGGCTGTGCAGTGATGTTTGGCTGGGGACCCACTTCCAGTGGGCTCCCTTAGGGCATTTTTTTTCTTTCTTCTTTTTTTTCTTGGTTTCTTGTCTCTCTCTCTCCCTTCCTTCCTTTCCTTCCTCCCAGCCACCTGGCATCTTTTTTTAATTTTCTCAGTTTCTTGTCTCTTTCTACATTCCTTCCATTCCTTTCTCCTGACCACCTAGCTGTGTGTGCCTTTCTCCCTGTATCAAAACCCTGAAACCCTGAGAGTATGGCCCCTGGACACCTTTTTAACTCAGTATCCAAGTCACTCTTGATGTTCCCCCTTCAGCCAATGATTACAGAGGCCTATAAAACAAACAACACCACACGTAATTCAAACATGTACACACCAGCCCAAAAGCAAAGATGAGAAGGCAGGAAGGGACAGCAAAACTGGATGAATGGAAATGGGGAAGCCAAGGTCCAGAAGGGGAGAGTGTTGACACAGGGCAGGGATTGCAAATGTCACAGAACAGTGTTCTTGTTGTTGTTAGGTGCCATTAAGTCTGTTTCAACTCATAGTGTTTTGATTCATGGTGTATTCAATATTCTTCACCAACACCATAATTCATCACAAAACAATATATGTATTAAATGTTTAATGAGAAACTAACATGCTCTGTAAATTGTCACCTAAGGCACAATTAAAAAAAACAAAACAAAAACCTGTTTTCTCTTCTTTGCACATTAGAGTACTTAGCATTTTTCACTTGTCCTTCAACTAATTCTTTGCTTTTATATTTTAATGAACAGAGTTTACCAGTATAATGCAGACCTAACTCCAGTTTTTGCCCTTCTGACTACTTCTGTAAAGTAATCTAGGTTAACACAGCCTGTTTGGATGATCGACTATTTCAGGAAGCATGTGGCTTTAGTGGTCTGCCGATTCTCAGAAGATGCCCCCCTCCTCTGACCCCCCCCCTTAACTGTAATTTTCCAACCCTTTGCTCTAACTAACCCAAGTGTAACCCAATCAGAAATGTTTTAGCAGTATCTCTCTGCACCCAGCTGCCTGCAGCAACGCCAGCCAATGAAGACAGCCTTAGCTGTACCACAGCTGCCTACGGTTTTTGCAGAGGGGTCTGTCTTACCCTGGATAATTTATGGCCTCCCCAACTTAAGTTGTTTGTACTCTTAATAAGTCTCTCTCTAATCTGAGTTTTTTCAGAGTCTGAGTTTTACTCTTGGACAATACATAAGCCAGTAACATAGACATTTATTATGACTATCAAGACATATGTTATACGTACATGTTTTTGTTGTTGTTAGGTGCCATCCAGTCAGTTCTGTCTCATGGCAGCCCTATGTACAACTGAACAAAACACTCCCTGGTCCTGTGCCATCCTCACAGTTGTCGCTATGCTTGAGCCCATCATTGCAGACACTGTGTCAATTGGTCTACTTCAGAGTCTTCCTCTCTTTCGCTGACCCTCTATTTTACCAAGCATGATGTCCTTTTCCAGGGATTGGTCCCTTCTGATAACATGTCCAAAGTACATGAGACGAAGTCTCACCATCCTCGCTTCTAAGGAGCATTCTAGCTGTACTTTAAATATATATATATATATTTATAATAATAATAATAAAGGACAGGCAAAATTGGGCAGTCAAATGGAAAAGCAGTGGGCAAAATATCCCTCCACTAAGTAGGTCTTAAATAATAAGTTTTTATCCTTAAAGATCCTGTTATAGTTCAAGGGAGAAAGACCTGGTGATCTGCTTCCGTATGATTACAGCCTAGAAAACCCTATGGGGGTAATTCTACTTTGTCACATGGGGGTCTTCATGAGTCTGAATTGACTCAACGGCACCTTACAACAGCAACAACATACTTCCATTTGTCCATATTAGCTATTTTATCTGGAGGTCCATGGGGTCCCATTTAGTCAAGCCACTTTATAAGTGCTAAAGGCTAAATTTAAAGTTAATTTATTATTCATTGTGCCAGAGCATCCATACACACTATGGGGTATTTTAGGGCAATGGGTACTACGATTATGGGAGATTTAGGCAAGGCAATAGGTCCAAAGGTTAAAATGAGGCATATCTATTTGTTCTTTATTTTATATTCAGTAACTGCTGTTGGGTGCTGCTGAGTCTATTCTAACTCATAGTGACCCCCATGTGACAGAGTAGAACTGCCCCATAGGGTTTCCTAGGCTGTAATCTTTAAGGGAGCAGATTGCTATGTCTTTTCTCCCATAGGGCCGCTGGTGGGTTTGAACCAACCTTCTGGTTCACAGCCTAGAGCTTAACCACTGAGGCACCAGGGCTCCTTATTCAGTAACTACCCTATGATAATATTGTTGTTAGTTATCATCAAGTTGATTTCAACTCATGATGACCCCATGTGCTGCAGAGTAGAACTGCTCCATAGGGTTTTCAAGGCTGTGACCTTTTGGAAGCATATCTCCAGGCCTTTCTTCCAAGGCGCCTCTGGTTGGGCTTGAATCACCAACCTTTCTGCTAGCAGTTAAGTGCTTAACCATTTGTGCCACGTAGGGACTCCTCCCTATGATAATACGGGATTCCATGATTAAATTTAGTGGGGCCCCCACATATAACTGTAATCTGAGTCCCAGGTTGATTATGGTTTGCCAGCTGGGGTATTTCAGCAGATGCTAAAGTTAATTCAAAAGTTCGTTGTAGAAGGGCAAAAGTCAATTGGTAGTACCCTTTGATCTTTTTTGTGGTATGAATTATTTGAATAAATTCCAGATATGTAGTTAGGTCAAAAAATAAATAAAATTAAAAATAAAATAACACCCACATACATTCCCATTCCTCTGGTTTGCTTCCCTTTGATAGTACCTATTATGACCAACATCATATTGTACATCTATTTATTTATTAAGGAGCCCTGGTGGTGCAATGGTTAAGCACTTGGCTGCCAACCAAAGGGTTGGTGGTTCAAAGCCACCCAGAGGCTCTGCAGGAGAAAGACCTGGTGATTTGCTCCTGTAAAGATTACAGCCTAGGAAACCCTATGGGGCAGTTCTGCTCTGTCCTATAGGGTCACCATGAGTCGGAGTCGACTAGACGGGACACAACAACAACAACAACAATGTACCATCTAAGGTCCCTGGGTGGCGCAAGCGGTTTGTGATTAGCTGCTAACCTAACGACTGGCAGTTTGAACCCACCCAGAGGTGCTACGGAAGAAAGGCCTGATGATCTGCTTCTGTAAAGATCATAGCCAAGAAAACCCTATGGAGCAGTTCTACTCTGTCACATGGGGTCACCAGGAGTCAAAATGGACTTGACATCACCCAGCAACAACATTTATTTATTGTTTGTTTCGTTTTCTGTTACCCACAACACCCAGAACAGTGCTTGTAGATGTTCAATTCATGTTTGTTGAATGAATAAATGAACTAACCAATGAACCAACACATGTGAGCTCAGACATAAAAGACTTCCCCATTCCAACCACACTTACGGAGTGTGGGTTCCATAATTACTGGATCCAATGCCTGCAGACACAGCCACAATCACAGCTGGGACCCCATAGCCAAAAGGGTACATGAACCTCTTCTTGAAGTTGCTTGCACTGAGATAGTTGGCCACCTTGAGGTTCCTGACAATTAAGAAAAGTTGCAGCCCTTCCAGGAGCATCCAGGTGAAGGAGGCCAGGTAGAGGCAGTGCAGCACCCCAGCGGTGGCAGAGTACAGCACCTGTAGAGGGGGAGAGTTAGGAGTATGTTATGGATTGAATTATGTGCCCCAAAAATGTGTGCCAACTTGGCAGGCCATGGTTCCCAGTATTGTGTGATTGTCCACAATTTTGTCATCCGATGTGATTTTCCTATGTGTTGTAAATCCTACCTCTATGATGTTAATGAGGCAAGATTAGAGGCAGTTATGTTAATGAGGCAAGACTCAATCTACAAGATTAGGTTGTATCTTGAGTCAACCTCTTTT